AATATATCAAATATGTCTGACATTTAGATCTGCAATATGCTGCGTCACGTTCATCAATCCAATCCTGTTACAATATCTAACTTCGCCTTAATTCAAGTCTATTATTAAAATTTTTATTAATTTTCATTTTGAATAATAATAATATACTTTAATATATGAATTAATTATGTATTATGATTTATTTTAGATTAAATAATCTGGATCAATCTAATTTTTTTAAATTCAAAAAGTATTTACTTACAGTTTAGAGGTTTCAAATAAATTTATAAAGTAAACTAATATTAATATAATTATTCAAAATTATATTATATTTTTATAATTATTTTTAACAGTTTTTAAATACCAATAAAGACTATTTCTAAATTTTTTTATCATTTTCATATAATAATGCAAATTTATATTATGTTACCATATAATCATTTTTAGCAGCTTTTTGATACTAATAAATAGCTTTTTCTAAAAATTTTTCTGTTTTTTACCATTTTTATATAATGATGCAAAATTATTTTATACTTTATATAATAATTTTCAATAGCTTTTTGATACCAATAAAAGGCTTTTTCTAAATTTTTTTCTATTCCTTTACCATTTTCATATAATAAGCGGAAAGTCTTTTTTAATGATTTGCTTTGTTAATTAACTAAGAAAACAAGAAAAAAAATTTTGTTATTTATTTGTGGTTGATCGTCGCAACTTAGTTATGCAAGACTATGTTATGCTTCTATTTGATTATTTTTAGCAGCTTTTTGATACTAATAAAAGGCTTTTTCTAAATTCTTTTCTGTTCCTTCACTATTTTCATATAATATTGCAAGATTATTTTATGCTCTTGTATTATTATTTTCAGCAGCTTTTTTATACCAATAAAAGACTTTTTCTAAATTTTTTTCTGTTTCTTCACCATTTTTATATAATGATGCAAGAATATGTTGTGCTTTTGTTTTATCATTTTCAGCAGCTTTTTATACCAATAAAAGGCTTTTTCTAAATTTATTTCTATTCCTTCACCAATATCATATAATAATGCAAGACTATATTATGTCTCTGTTTGATTATTTTTAGCAGCTTTTTGATACCAATAAAAGGCTTTTTCTAAATTTGTTTCTGTTTCTTCATCATTATTATAATAATGCAAGACTATATTGTGCCTCTGTTTGATCATTTTTAGCAGCTTTTTCTATATTTTTTTCTGTTTCTTCACCAAAATTATATAAATATGCAAGATTATATTATGCATTTGAATAATTATTTTTAGCAGCTTTTTGATACCAATAAAAGACTTTTCCTAAATTTCTTTCTATTCCTTTACTATTTTTATATATAATGCAAGATTATATTGTGCTTCTATTTGTCCATTTTCAGCAGCTTTTTGATACCAATAAAAAACTTTTTCTAAATTCTTTTCTACTTCTTATCCACTTTCATATAATAATGCAAGACAATATTGTGCTTTTATATAATCATTTTCAGCAGCTTTTTGATACCAATAGAAGGCTTTTTCTAAATTATTTTCTGTTCCTTCACCCATATAATATAAATTACCAAGATCATATTGTGCAATTTTATTATTATTAACTGCTGCTTTTTGAAAATAATTAAATGCTTGTTTATAATTTTGCTTAATTCCAATTCCATAGTAATTATTCACACCAACTAATCTTAATCCTTCAATGTATATTATTCTATAAAACTTAATTTTTTTTGGCTTTTATTTCAATATTTACATTATAAACTTTTTTTAAAATATTCTTTGAAATAATATTTCCATTTTTTGCTGCTTTATTATACCAAAATAAAGCTTGATCTTTATCTATTTCTTTTCCAATTCCAGTAAAAAAACAATTTCCAAGTCGATATTGTGCTTCAGTGATTTCGTTTTCTGCTAATATTTTATAATATTTAAATGCGTTGTTATTATTTTTTTCAACTCCTTTTCTTAATCTAAAACAATCTGCTAAATAAACTTTTGCAGCGATATTTCCATTGATGGCTGCTTTGTAATACCAATAAACTGCTTTCTTAAAATTTTGTTGGGTTCCGATGCCATATTCATAGCAATGTCCTAAATAGCATTGTCCTATAACACTTCCGGTTTATACCGATTTCTGATACCAATAAAATGAAAGTTTTTTATTACATTCAATTCCATATCCATTATAATAACATTTAGCAAGATAAACTTGTGAAATTGAAAAGTTTTCTTTTGCTGCTTGTAGAAATAATTTATAAGCCTTAATACTATCTTCATTTATACCGATATTATAATAATAAAATAATCCAAGTAACCAAATAAATTGTGTATTTTGCTGCTTTCTTATCCAATTTAAGAGATTTTCGATTTTATTTAATCGCGATATTTTTTGCTTAATAAAATTTATAATCTGGTCAAAAGTGATACCTTCATTGTGTTTTTTAATGACAAATTTAATTAATCTATCAACTGTTTATGATTTATAAATATCGAATCAACTGAATCAACTGAGACTTTTGATGAATTATTATTGACTTGAAAAATTAAATTTGATAAGCGAATTTTAAAATCCGTTTTATTTGTTTGAATAGATATATTACTTTGCAAACTTTTATTGCTTAAATTAGCATTATTATAAAAATTACCACTCTTGAATAATTCCAAATCATTTAAACCATCATCTTTCTCTTTGTTTGATCTAAGGTTAGATCTATTTGTCAAATTAATTGGTGAATTATTTTTAAAATCCGTCATATTTGATATATTTGATTGAAAAGACTTTTTACTTCGTAAACTTGAGTTACTTTCATTAATATTATTATAAAAATTAATATCGTAAGCTAATTTTAAACCTTCTAATTCCTCATCTCTCTTTATTTGATTTAAAACTATAATTATCCTTTATCGATGAATCAATTTCTTCTTCAATAAGATTGACATTCATAATTTCACCACGCTCAAGAGAAATAATTGCTTTAAGAATTAAAACGACCTTTTGTATTTTTGGACGCTCATCATTTTCGTATTTCCAACATTCTAATTGAATAAATAAGGGTTATAATTCGTTTTAAAAAATATTAATAGTTAATTTTAATTACCTTGATATAAATTACTGTATTCAGGTGGAGTTCCATCAATAATTTTTTCTCTTTTCCATTTAATATAGACAGAGTTAAACATTCATCATAATCAACACCTTTAAATGGTTGGTTACCACTTGAAATTTGCCACATCAAAACCCCAATACTATAGATATCAGATTTTTTATTAAATTTGTAATCCTTGTTTCTATTTAATTTTTTCGGATCCATATAAGGTAATATACCAAATACTTTCGACGTATTTCTAGATTCTTCAGCAATTTTTTTTGACAAACCAAAATCCGCTAATTTAATAATTTTCTGATGTACAAGTATGTTCTCTGCATGCTATAATTTTATAAATGAATTTAATACATAATTATTCAATGTAAATAAATAATTGATTTTATAAAAAGATGGCATTTACCAGATCGCAATGAACAATATCACAATCGTGTATACATTCTACGGCACCTGCCAACTGTAAAGATAGCTGACATTTATCATCCCAACCAAGTTCATTAAAATTTTTATTTAAATAAGCATTTAATGTACCGCCATCAGCATATTCTAAAACCAAAGAGTACTTGTTTATTTGGTTGATTCCATTCGCTATTCATGAAAAAAAATAAAGAAATTAAATATATTTGTCGAGAATTGTGTGATTATGTCCCTAACATTTACCAGTCTCTTCCCTTGTGATACCACAAAACCGCAGAATATTTGGATGAAAGTCAACTCTTTTTTGTAATTTTATCTATAAAGAATTTTAATAATACACCGTTAAAGTAATTTAATAAAACTTTTTAAAATTTATAATTATCTGTTTACCTCATTTACTACTTCTTTCAGAGTGATCATATCATTATTGAAAGATTTCAAAGCAAAAAAACGATCCGGATTTTTCCAATTAGCACGCACAACGTTTTCTTCCGCAATCGATTTTTCTAACCAATCGATATAGGAATTTGATTTTTCAAGATTATCTGACATTTTTAATTAATTTATTTTTTAATTAACTTTGACCTTTTATATATTGGTGGCAAATACGGAGTTCAAATTCCGATTGAACACGTGATTTGTGAAACGATTATAAAACCTTTTAGCTTAAGGCGTCGATCAGGTTTTTTTTTGGGGGATGATTTCCTTTTTTTAAAATTTATCAGTCGGCTATTGAGCGGTAAATAACTATTATTTCCCGATTAACTACATTACTAACTAATTCCCGTGATAAGAAAAGTCACATGAATATGAGAGTCACATGTTATTATGGCGTAAAAATACTAAAAAAATTTTTTTTTAATTAATTTTATTTCTTAAAAAACGAAATGATGACCGTAAAATTTAATACTGCTCGTGAACTTTTAAAAAATCCATGTTTACAACCTAAAACATCCAAAAATACTGACAATACTGACATTGAAAAGGACCTATTCCTATGCAACATTACAATAAGAAACCATTACAAAAGGCTCCGATGTAGAGGTTGGAACCGGTTTTATTTTCACAAACCGGTTTTAAACACTTTTTTTAATTTGAGACCCGGATTTAAACCGAATTAAATAAAACCAATTAAACCGAGCATTCGGTAGCAATAAACCCTAAATACCGAATTGCGATAAGTTTTATAATGCAATATAATGTTACAAAATATTTATCTTCTTTGATTTTTATTCAAGGAATAAATATTAAGTTAATTACATGTTAAAATGATAGATAAAAAATTAAAAATAAAACATGATTCACCAAATCCGGAGATAATTGAGTACATCTTGCTATATATAATTACTTGCGTCTGAAAACAATGTTTCGCTAGATACAGAAGTTGCAGGAATAGATAGATAAAGTTGAGATAAAATATAAAAGCTGCTTTTGTTTACATCCCACCACTTTAAAGGATGTAATATCATTTTGCTGAAGTTTAATAAAATTCGAATGAAAATTCATTAGAATCGCAAAAAAAAAAAAAATATATAGAGTAATATAAAATAACGAATAATAGCGTCAAAAATGTACAAATTCAAAATTAATTTTCATTATATAAAAATTTTTTTTTAAAAAAAAAAGTTTTAATCTTAGATCGCACAATAAAAAGCTAATAGGTATTATAAATCTATTCTGAGAAAATAACGGGTTTAGCAGTTATATATTTAACCGGTAAATTTCCGGTTTCATTAAATTCGAATTTTCGTAATCAACCGAATTTAATGAATTATACCAAACCGGTTCCAACCTCTACTTCGATATTTAATAATTGTCACTTTCAAAATGTTAACATTTGCTTTAAATAATTTCTATTTATGATCATAAATGCTTGTAGTAATGTAACATTTATAAAAAAAATGCTTTTTTCTATATCAAGCTTATTAAATAAAATATATTAAATATTTTGCGGCTCGTTTTTTCATTTGATATATCATGGTAATTGCGTCTTGTTGATATTTTCACGGAAAATTCAACTCCGATTATGAATCCGGTAAAATATCAATACGAAACATTACTGGCGAACAATTAGTAAGCGGGTAATATGTAATATTATTTCCTTTCTGTTCTAAAGATATATCTGCTTTTATAAAAATCTATCATACTTATAATTTTTTAGCAAATATTATTAAATATAAATATATTTTAATACAAATGTGTTATAATGACATTAACTAACTTCCAATTATGGATGGGATGAGCGACTCAGTCGGTTCTAGAACCGATCTAAATCAGCATCTTTGGAGTTGCCTGAATTTTCATCAATTTAACGCTCCGGACCAGTTCAAAAGAGTCGGCATAGTATATACCGAATTTGTTTGATACCAATTATTTGATTTAATTTAATTAATTTACTTTTAAAAAGTCGGAACCGAAATGAGAGAATCGTCTCCAACCCTATAGCCAATGCAGTAGTCTTTTTGATGGATCTCCAACATCTTTACAATTAAATAGCATTGTGGATTATTTCAACAATTTCAAAGAGATTTATCTCTACAAATCCTGTTGTTGATTATTAAATGGAGGAAA